ATTCCTTAATTATAGAGTCACTTTCTGCTCTTTTCCATGCAGTGGACAGGATGAACCACACGCACACAGTGAGCAGCTTTCAGGATGTGTTCTCTTCATTTGTGCAAAATGTGCTTTATCTACAAAACTTCTATAAACCTTACTCTGAAGACAGCATGATCAGCTTGCTTACATACTCTCAACACTACTCTGTATAGCAATATCTCCTCAAGACTCACTAAAGACTTTGTCTGTCTTCAAAGCACAGGTGAGCTAAAGGTCAGTTTTACAGACTGGAAGCCAAGCAAGACAATATTGCCATCAAAAGTTTTACCTAAACTTGTTTTTCTCACACAACATATTTACAAATCCAAAGAATTTAAAATTTTAGAGATAATTCTATAACATACAGAGGTATGTACATATATTCATGCACAGAGAAAGTGACCCATGCTTGACATGTGGTTAAGAGTGTTCACTACCTAAGAACAGCAAACTGGAAGTGAGGGCCCATAAAAACATGCAGATAATTAGCCATCATGCAAAGAAAGGGTAGTATATATCACTTGCCCAAAATCACCCTGTATAGTAATGAACTTCTATAATAAGGCCACATAAAGTTGCCCAGGCAATTATAAATCTGGCATTCCCAGCTGTACTTTGCAGTGTGACTTCAGTAAATATTGCCATCACTGAGGTTCAGAGACATACATTCTTAGCCTTCTAGGAAAAAAATAAATTACAAATGGCCCAGTTTCTCCATGCATCATTATACTGTTATGAACATAATATAGGACTGGAAATTCCAAGGCTGCCATAGAGACATCTTTGCTCTGAACACTAAACAGCTGCAGTCTGTACTGGTAGATCAACCTCATTAAACACACAAGCTTAAAACTAAGGCCACATTCTCCAAGAGAAGAGGTTATAGATGTAGAAGTTGGGAACAATCCATTTGTGGAACATTGCTCCCTGATCCCTTGCCATCTGCCTTTTCCCTGGAGGGTGAGAGTTGGCATGGACATTCCCCATGGTACTGCAGGCAACTGGAAATCATCCTGGCAGCCCAGGGTGCCCAACTTGCTTCTTCCACACTCTGGAAACCCAGATGACCTCACAATCCTTGTGCCAGTCCCCCCACTGCTGCCAGTCATGAGACAGGTCTGTACCAGTAACTGCTTCTACCAAAGCTGTCACTCTGCAGCTAGGCCCACCCCACCATGCACCCCTTTATCTCCTAGACCAGGTGCCTTGCCCACCTAGTCCCAATACCCATCACCCTCTTGCTCATCTTTCTACTCTGTCTGCCCAGCCATCCTCTGTCAAGCTCTGACTCTGTCTCTTGGCCATTTTCTTTTCTCCCAAGCTTTTCACCTCTATCACATATTCTTGTCTTCAAGTCAAGTGGCCAGTCTCAATCATCTCCTTGTCATCTCTTGAGCAGCTCCTTTCACCACTTTTCATCTCTACTTTCAGCCTTCCCCTCAATACGCTCACTTTTTTTTGACCTTATTTTCTCCATCCTTCCCAATTCACATGCACAAGTCAACACAAAGTTGCCTCAACAGTTCCCAGATGCAATAAGAGTCCTGATAGCAGAGCAGTTGGAGTCTCTTCTTAGTTCAGATTCCCACCCAGTGAACAGTAGGCCTGTGTAACAACTGCAGGAACAGTTGACCTTGGCTGTAAACCAGACCCGTGGAGAACCAGGCATGCATGTACATTTGTGGCAAATGGAGAATCTGAACTAAGGTCGCAAATGAGTTCATCAGAAATACTTCAGAAGGCTTATAACCTTGCCAAATTTGAAAATAAAATGTATTAATTCAAAATGACAATCACATTGATGCTTCCAGCTAACCACATCACAGAGTAAGTTTTATACATAAATGCAAAATAACTGATTGTGTATTCCACATTCAGGTGCCTTGCATGACTTGCCCCCAGTTATAATTTTCTCACTTAAATTCAGGTTTTCTATGTACCCACTTTATTGCATATGACTTTACTTATAAACAGAACTCTGATATTTTTTCTGAGGACAATTTTGTTATCCTTTAAAAGAAACAAAAGTGGAATTTCAAATGGATGGATAGCTGCACTAGGCATTAAGAAAAAAACATTTCATGTTCTTTAATATTTATCAAGTATATCACTGTACTAATCCACAGTGCACTTGCTTCAACAGTTAGGCTCTTCTATCTCTTTTCCTTTTGCTGATCACCATCTCATAAACCAGCTACGAGGATACATTTCTAAAAGATTAATGCATGTCCCACAAAGGATCCCACATTAGTGGATTTATTAGTGATTTCTGACTATCAGTCTTTAACAAGACTTCTTCTCTTCTATAAATCTAAAATTTTGGGGTTTATCCACTCTATCAGTGGTTTTGTTTGTTCTTCCAAATGTCTGAAGAAAAAGAAAGCTCTCCTCTACGCCACAGTTACTTCTTCACTGCCTGTATACCTGGCACTTCCACCACATCATCAGTCAACTGATATTCTCTTTATCCAGTCACCTGCTGTCATACTACTCACGCAGAGAAAACTGTCAGGCCCATAACAACATGCCTTACAAGCTTTTTCAGCCTTCCCCTCACAATTTAATTTTTCCCTTCTTTTGATGATCACTTTCATAACCATAGCTTTCATGTTTGTTCATACAGAAGATTAGCACTTCTCAGCTATCCTGCTAACAAGCATTAGAAGTCCAGTTTTCTGACACCAGCTTAAAAGAGAGTAGCTACCAGTCACCCTCAGGAATGTTGCAGTATCACAATCACTGTATGAGAATAATGTCAAAAGCAGGAACAAAGCAAGATGTAGGCTCAACTGAAAAAAAGAATGAAGGACGTAAAATTATACCGGTGTTATACAATGGGGTAAACTTCAGGAGATTAATCCCCAAAATACCTCCAAAAACCTTTAAGAAAAAAAAATTGAAAGAGAAAAATTTTTAAAAAGAAAGAGAATATTAAACACAGGCTTATGGAAATCAGCTGGGACACAGCACACCAGAGCCATCCTCCTACAGTCTACATCTCTCAATGGATTAAAAAAAAGTTAAAGAGAAAATCCATAAAAAAGTAGAATTTTTTTGTGTGTCTGCCACTCACTTAAGGACAATGTTATTGCAGCTCTACAACTTCCTCCATTTACCATGAAAATGCCTGTAGAAGTTTCTTCTCAGTCGATTATTTATTTTATTTCCTCTATTCATCCATGAGCCACAACATGATTGACATCTTTTCCATCAGAACTGTACAGCAGCATGACAAGCTATTTATTACATAAAAGATGATATACATTAACTCTCCAGGTCAAGCTACAATCCTCTAGCTGGATGTCATTTTTAAAACTATGAGTTTTAAAAACTTGTGCATCATTCTAGTCCCGACACTACACACCTCTCCCCTTACAGAGAAGATTTCTGAAAATTAAGATGTTATTTCTGTGTAGTTTTTGGTGAATGCTACCAGCATCGGTAATAAAGATTGTTAAGTCTTCTGCAGCAAACAACCCTATTTCTTATACTTTTATCAGGGGTCTCAAGCAACAAAAGTGCCTTCTTAAACTGAGTTTCATACTTTGGTTTCATAGTTTAAGCTGGCTGGAACCAGGTATCTTTAGCCCCCCAGCTAAATTTCTATGCCACAGATCAATTGCTTGCCAAAAATGCACTCATATCCAATAGCAACAATAAAACATGGAAAGAGGCACATTAGAGCAAGCAAATGCATTCATACATTCAGAATGCAGGCGGAGGCAGGAGACAATTAGAGAAGGAAATTCAAATATAAGGCATTTCCTGAGGATTAATGAGTGGGTGGTAATGTTTTGATAGTCAAGGGCAGAATGGGTTCTGCAACTGGCACAATTCATTAATCCCCCAGGCAACACAAACTGGGATTCTGCTAATTTTTTTTCTGTGCTTGTTATTTTCCTTAGCATTTAATTAAAATTTCCACTTACTCTGACACCATTGTTCCCTCATAGAATCACAGAATGGTTGGGTTTGGTTTGGAAGGGACCTTATAGATCATCTAGTTCCAACTCCCCTGCCATGGGCAGGGACACCTTTCACTAAATCAGGTTGCTTAAAACACCATCCAACCTGGCCTTGAACACTGCCAGGGATGGGGCATCCACAGCTTCTCTGGGCAACCTGTTCCAGTGCCACATCATGCTCACAGTAAAGAATGTCTTCCTAACACCTAATCTAAACCCACCCTCTGTCAGTTTAAAGCCATTTCTCCCTGCCCTATCACTACATACCCTTGTGAAAAGTCCCTCTCCACTGAGCCTTCTCTTCTCCAGGCTGAACAGTCCCAGCTCTCTCAGTCTGTCTGCAGTGGAGAGGTGCTCCAGCATCTAAGCATTTTCGTGGCCTCCTCTGGACAGAACAGAGGGGCAGAATCACCTCAGTCGACCTGCTGGTCACACTGCATTTGATGCAGCTCAGGATATGATTGGATTTCTGGGCTGCAAGTGTGCATTGCTACAACATGTTGAACTTCTCATCCACCAACACTCTTAAGTCCTTCTCCTCAGGACAGCTCTCAATCCATTCTTTGCCCAGTGTTTATTTGTGCTTGGGATTGTCCTAAGCCACATGTAGGAAATTACACTTGGCCTTATTGTTCAGAGCCCAGCACTGTCTGTATATCTGAACAGTACTACTGTGGTAAATAACATCTATCAAATTATGGAATTAATACCTGGTACAAAAGCCCAGATAACTTTTCAAGTTTAAGAAAGTAGTTCTAATCCTCTGAAGACTAAAACTGCTTTCTGCCTTAGAAACAGAAAGGGCTCAGATCTAATCCTTTCCTCAATACAGAAGCTGCTTGATGGTCTCTATTATCCTAGTGGCAGCAGACAAAGAGCAAATCAAGTACTGGAGAGAACAAATGATTTTTCTCTCCCTTCGGTACCACAGGAAGCCACATACACTAATGCATTACTTAACATGTCCCAGGTAGCAAACATAGCCCTGCATCATCATAACTCCATACTGACCTGTGACTGGTGCATCTATGTCCAGCAAATTTTTTTCCTGGCGGAGAATCGAAGCTCCCTCTGTTATTATTCTCAAAGCAACACTCTCTTCCAGCCTCCCTTCTTTCATAAGGTGGGCCTTTAGGATATCCACACGCGGTTTTCCATCATTGTCAAACACTTCCTTAGCTGTGAGCCGATGACTTGGAGGAAATGGGACAGCTAAGTGAAAAAAAAACAAAAATATGTGGTCACTTTTTACAGTAAAGCTCCTATTACCAACAATGACGTATTTCAAAACACATCTCTGCTGCAAATCAATGTTAACATAGATTTTCTACTGCCTCCTATAATTTTTGGTTTAAAATTGGGCATAGATTATCAAAGATACCATTAAAGCACATGTAGTCTGCAGGATATATTATTCATGCATGCAAGAACAACTAATTTGTGTTATAAAAACTGAGATGAAGATTTATGCCATATTTACATATATTCAAACAAGCCCTGCAAAAGGTATGGGAATATCAGGGAAAGGAGGGAATGGAGTTTATACTGCTCTAGTGGCACTAAAGAACATTGACAGAAGACTCCCTTCCATTAAGACCACAAAATGCACAAACAAGTGCAGTATTTAATATCCATGCATGCACATGCATAGATACACTCCAATTAAAATTCTAAAATCCAAGACAGACCTCTCTCTAATGACTCTGGGTGGGGGGATGGAAGATGTTTTCCCTGTATAAGTAATAGTTAGCCACACAAGATAGATATGAATCCCATCAAAACATGCCTGATTGCCAAGCAGACCCCTCTAACAAAGGCAGGGCAGAGGATGCTGGAAATGCATGAACAAATGGGAAGACTGTCCTAGCAACATGGCAATGACTAGTGAGCTGTGTACTGCTGCCACGTAAGGTCTTGGGCATACGGCAAACTTTTCTGCTCCTGCTCTTCTGGAGCCAGCTGGAGCAAGCAGGCTCAGAGGTGATGCTGTCAGCTGCCAGGATGAGGCTGGAGCATTATCCCAGCTTAACCCCCTTTCCCTTGCAGTTCAATCAGAGTGGCATTAGGCAGCGACTGCCTCACTAGCCACAGGGTAATTCCACTGATCCCTGCCACAGCTGCAGGAGGGTCAGGTTGCTAAGGAGCTCCAAGCAGGGAGAGGAGGTGGCGACAAGGCAGGTCTCAGCTGGCCACATCTGCAGTGCAACCCATCCCTGCCAAAGGACCTTGTTTCCTCTGGAGTGTCTTACTGGCAGCTTTGCCACACTGTGAGACATGAAACCCTAATGCAGCAGATTAATATATCTGTTAGCTTCGATTTTCTTCTAATTTCACAATCACTGTACTTCAGAAACAGCCCATAAATCACACCCATGATTTAAAGCCCAAGGCAAGCACTCTTCATTTACACTACCAAGAGTAACAGAGCAGAAAATAAAAAAATCACTTTATGCAGTTATTACTCACTGATACTTTTAACACAAACAGCTTCAGAAAATGTCTTTTTGTTTTGTTTGGTTTGGTTTTTTAAGAGCTTTTTACTGCCTCAGCTCCAGCAGTCCATCCTCTGAAATAGAGCATGTGGGTGTCTGTAATACACTGAAGCCTGACTGTTGTCAGACTTAAAACACTGGACAAATAGGTGAGAGGGTGAAAATTTATGACATTCCTGACAGGAGTGGGATTCTCCCGAAAAAGTGACCCTACAGCCAACAATGAAGTCAAAATACAGTCCTCAGCCCTGGAAAGCCTGCAACAGATCCACAATGATCTTTCCCCTAGATTGCTTTAAATTAGTCTGTTTTGAATGGCACTTCTATGATGAGAAGTAGACTGTCAAAGAAAAAAACCTAATCACTCCTTTTACAGCTACTGCAGTTGAGCCTATGCCATGACACTCTCAAAAATGAGTTTATATGCTTTGTCAGTCTTTCATTTAATATCTGCATCACACGCTCAAAAGCAAGACAGCTATACCATAAAATGGTTTGGGGTGAAAGGGATCTCAAAGACCATCTAGTTCCAAATCCCCTGCCATGGGCTGGGACATATCCCGCTGGACCAGGTTGCTCAAAGCCACATCCAACCTGACCTTGAACACTTCAAGAGATGCAGTACTTCAGGTGAGGTCTCAAAAAGCTGAACAGGGGGGCAGAAACACCTCTCTCCATCTGCTGGTCATGGGTCTTGTGATGCAATCCAGGACAGTTAGCTTTCCAGGCTATAAGCACACATTGCCAGCTCACGACAAACTTCTCGTCAAACAACACCTCCAAGTCCTCCACCTCAGGGTTCCTCTCAGTCCACTCTCCACTCAGCCTGTATTTGTGCTTGGGATTGCCTCGATCGACATCAAAGACCTTGCACTTGGCCTTGTTTAACATCGTAAGACTCGCACAAGCTCACCTCACTCTCCACCTGTATTTGTGCTTGGGATTGCCTCGATCGACATCAAAGACCTTGCACTTGGCCTTGTTTAACATCGTAAGACTCGCACAAGCTCACCTCCTAAGCCTGTCAGGGTCCCTCTAGATAGTATCCCTTCCCTCCAGTGTGTTGACTGCACTACACAGCTTGGTGTCGTCAGCAAACTTGGTGAGGGTGCACTCAGTCCCATTGTCAATGTCATCAACAAACAGCTCTGATCGACATCAAAGACCTTGCACTTGGCCTTGTTTAACATCGTAAGACTCGCACAAGCTCACCTCCTAAGCCTGTCAGGGTCCCTCTAGATAGTATCCCTTCCCTCCAGTGTGTTGACTGCACTACACAGCTTGGTGTCGTCAGCAAACTTGGTGAGGGTGCACTCAGTCCCATTGTCAATGTCATCAACAAACAGCTCTTGTCCCAACCCTGAGAAGACCCTCATGAGGACCAGGGCTTGCACACATGACTACAGACAACCTCATCCGCTCAGTCTTCCTGGTCAGGTAGCCTGTCCTTGTCCTGCCTTTAATCCTGACCCACAAGCTCTTGTTCAGCTTCTCATCTCTTCCCATGCAGATACATGAGCTATAAACAATTCATTATGCAGCACAGAAAAAGAATAATTATAGCAAAAAAAAAAAAAAAAAAAAAAAAAAAAAAGAAGACGTTAATGAGAACTCAGCAGTTCCTCAAACCCTCACCCTCCTTCTACAAAACAAAACAAAAACCTGGAAGGCTAGCTAGTCCTAACGATCTTGTGCTTCCTTCAAGGAGGAAGGAGAAGGAGGAAAAGTTGGTAGTTATCTGCAATCATTTTGGCTAGAAGAAGCACATACCATTAGCTTGCCTTAGGAAGAGAACCACCACTGTTCCTCAAAGGTATCATAATGTAAAAACCTATGCAGTGCACTAGTACTTTGAGGTAACTACCATATATGCATTTGTGCTGAAAGGATATTTTTAAATTTATAAAGATAGAGAAAAACAGAGAAGTAATCAAGCAAACAAAAGCTATGACATATAACCTTTTAATTAAGAAAAAAATACGGCATAGACTGCAGCGCTGTAACAGTTCTGCAGCCAGAGCTCTAACGAAGATGCAGCAGTGGTTAATTAAAGGAAAAAAAAGACACTGTTCCAATAGCAGATGATTCATGATTAATTAGCAAAAACATGAGCGACTGAATAGACCACAAATTGCATCTTCCATTATGGGAATATTAATTTTGAATGTACACATATACAGAGCTTCCACAGAAGAACAACATAAGAAATGGTCATGTTCATGTAGAAGTCAGTTAAACATCATTCTTTACTGGTAACGCCCCCAAAATGTCTGACTCGAGCAAAATCCCGTTATAAATACAACAAACATTTAATTTCCACTGCTTTATATATACACCAGTTACCACCTGAATATGCAGGTATCCATCAGTTCTTCCATACCTGCTTTCTTTTTCTGCTTTTTTAAACCTATGCTTTTAGCACGTGCAATAAATAACTCTTTCTCTCACAGTGGTTTTGCTGTTATCAGGAATAAACCCCAGAGTCTCATCAGACACAAACTGTGCACACAGCATGCACAACGAGGAGGAGCAGGTAGCTGGCAGAGGAGCCCACCAGGGAGAGGCAGGAGGAGGAAGGAGTGGGGGCTTGAACTGCCAGCACCAAGCTCCTTGCCGCAGCACAGGCTCAGGAGATGTTTTTGTTAAAAGAGGTGGAAATCTGTATTAAGCAAAGGCCACAAAAAAGGGAGGGGCAATAAAATTGGTATCTGCATACCATATGTATTTTTAGAAGTTTAGTGACAAATCTCACTACAAGACCACCACATGAGAGTCATACATGCTTAACCACACTCAGTAAAACTTAAAACCTGGACTAGTCTCCAATTTGTTCACATTATTTTCTTTATATTAGCATTAGAAAAAAAATTTACCCTGGTGGTTTGGTGATAAAACATAGACCACAACCAAATGCAAAGAGACAAAGTTTTTAACCCTTTACCTCAACCTGTCAGTAACATCCTCCTGAGATCAGAAACCAGAAGAAAATACTCTCAACTACTTACTAGTGCTTTTTTGGTTTTGCTTTTGGTTTGGGTTTTTTTTTTTCAGTTGAGCTTTTGGGTCTCTTGAGCATGTTCCAGCAAATGGAGGAAAAGATCAAACTGCTATTTTACTGCTCTTGCAGGCTCCTGCAAAACCCATCTTACCATTAACACAGCCACTGCAAAGGTCAGACACATCGTTACTGCTTCACTCAAATATTAAGCAGCCTCTCTGGAACAAATAAATAAACCATAAAGAGCTGTGTTTAATTAGAGTGGACCATGTGTGCACACATAAATAAAATACAAGCATGTGGCAAAGCAAGCATTATTTTGTTTATATATTATTCATTTTAAAATGAAGCTGTACACTATATGAATACTCTCAGAGGAGGCTGCCCATAGGAAAAACTCTCTTTCATCAATATTCAAGTTCCCTGAAAATTATCTCCTCCTGTAATCCTTGTCCTATAATTTCCTATAACTTATGCTGTATGTCTGTATGTAGCTATGTTTATAGCACACCATACTTTTATGAAAAATAAATGCTTTCCTCTTCATT